CTCACGTGCATTGACCGTTTTACAAGATGGCCCGAAGCTATTCCCATCACGTCTATCACGGCGGAGACAGTTGCTCACCGCTTCGTAGAACGATGGATAACACTGTACGGTTTTCCCTCAACTGTCACGACTGACTGAGGACAACAATTTGAGTCCACATTATTCTCCTCACTGACCAGGCTGCTAGGTACGGAACGCATACGCACTACTACTACTCTCCGAGCACACGAAAACGACAATTGGTACGAAACCTTACCGCTCGTTCTCTTAGGCATCAGAACGAGTTTGAAGGCAGATATTCAATGTTCCGCCGCTGAACTTGTATACGGCACGACATTGCGTCTGCCTGGGGAATTCTTCACACCAAGGAGCAGTAATGATTTCGGTAAATCAGACTACGTCCATCGGCTGTCTGCATTTATGCGAACGCTGTCTCCGGTGTCAACTCGAATACAACATCGACAGGTCGCTCTCCCTCGAGAGTTATCTACCTGTTCACATGTTTTCATACGAGTAGATTCGGTACGCAAACCTCTGCAACAGCCTTACGAAGGCCCTTTTCACGTGATCTCTCGTCACGAAAAGACCTTCAAGGTTGATCGACACGGCCGCGTCGAGATCGTCAGCATTGATCGTCTCAAACCAGCACACGTCGATGACAGTGCCCTACCCGATAACTTGAGACTCAATGCTAGACCTATCAAACCTTCTAGCGGGATCTCTACGTCTACCTCGGATCCCACGCTAGATACATCAGAGACCTCGGTCCCGGTCAACAGCACGCGTCATCCGCACCATCTACGGGCGAGACTTCCGTCTCACGTCCAGATCAGCAGACCACGCCGCCCTTGACCTCGGATGAGATCGCAGGCTCACGAAGTACGAACGAGACCACCGTCTCACATTCCGGTCACCGAGTACGATTACCCGTACGCACAGTCAATAACAGATACGGTGTAGGATTATTCCTATACTACACGCATGCTACACTTTTCTTTTTTTGATTTTTTTTGTATCGTGAGCCCACGCCTCCGACCATCGCCCGTTTGGTAACGTCGACTTCAGTCAACTTTGGCAAAAGCTGGTTTGGCCACCCACGCTCTAGTCAACGCACTCAGTCGATTATCTGGTCTCGAATTCGCCTGGCATACGCTTGGTCGTTATGGTCGCTTCCGGTTTCTTGGCACAACATGGTTTCATCCTACGTCTGCAGCGTTTTCTGGTTCGCATCCCTACGAACGCAATCTTCAGATCCTGGATACAAACCACTCTGGTGTGGTATGCTAATTCGACCAACAAATACAGCACACTCCTCCTGGTACCGTTCTGCGCAAAAGACTTTCGTTGGCAACTCGAGGATCAACGATCACTTCCTGTTCCGCCAATTTCCTCCGTCCTACAACCGCACTTCTGCCGATCAGTCCCACGAATCAAACCGCTAACTATCGAAAGTGTAAACCCTTTCTAGGGAAGGGCTCCTGTAGTGACCTACTTTTGTCAACAGAACGCGATTGGTTCAATGAAAACAGTTATTATTATAACCAATTGTACCAGTGACTGTTTTACTGTGCTCGTTTGTTTAACTGTGCTAATGACAGCCATTACACTTACTCTCCCGTTGACTTTGAACTTGTACGAATTCGGTTACGCTCAGTAACCACGCTTGTACTCCTTTGGCACGATCTCGGTATTCTTTCGATACCACGAGATCGCCAACAAATACATCTCGACTACAGCCAACATCTGCCTTCTGATTTTTGGCCAACCGGAATCTTATTGGTCTATTGGCACGTAGTCTTGTAGCGGTGTTCATAGTCAAGCTCAACTCGACACCACGCTACATGTATATGAGTATTCGATGGATTCGGGAATTCGATAACTATTAATCAACTTAGTTTTGCCGCAAGATCAATGGCCCTACTCTAATATGTTTTGCTGGCGATGATGTGGCACATCGACATGTGAAATGTTATATCTAATTCATATTTCTATCTGCCATGACTTATCCTACATGGGAGCTGGGGTTTCCTTTTTCTTAGAAATCTTTTGCCAAAAGTTCTGACTTATTGATAGAATAATGCAGTTGATTAAGTGACGAAATAATTATGTGAGTTACCACGTCTGTTTGGCCGAACGACGCAGTCTTAAAAATATCCCCGTGATGACATTTACTAACCTCCACCACTTTTTATCAACTACTCAAAGTTTAGTGGCAAGTTTTATAGGGCAGGATATATTCACATTAAGGGATAACTTTTAAATGTTATTGTCCTTTCATCATAAACAATTACTGACCCTTGCTTCTCGTCATTGGTTGGTTATCAACAGAATATTAAGTGATTTTGATATATTTGTACATTGTGACGTTCTAATATTTTGTTGATATATGTTTGCAGTGTGTTGTATAATAAAAAGGATACTTTTTATGTCAGTATATCCATAAAATCCACTAAGCAGTCATAACGCCATGGATTTACTAATGGAAGACAAAGTTAAATTCAACATCACATCATCGCGACAGTCTTTAGTTGGTGAGTCCAGACGATGGAAAAGAATATTAGTTGTAACAAGGAGGGTTTCATATGATCCACATACTTTAATATGTTCCTACAGTCTCACCTATCACTTTGTATCAAAGGTGGCTATCAATCCACAGGAGGTTGGTGTCAGGTTTGTGAAAACCTGTTGAATTATGGTCTACTATGGTATTAGTACTGCTCTAATAATAGACCTAATCCTTAAATTGCAGATTTGTCATGACGCAGCTGCTTAATCTATAAGATCTTACGTGGAAGTTACATCATTGTCTACAATGATTTATCGTGTCGTAACAATTACCGATAGATGATGGAGAACATATTCACGCTGCAGATAGAACGATATATTTAATATGAGTAAAGTCAAGTTAAGCAGAGAAATCACACTTGCGAGGCTGAGCCATGCCATCCGACCAATTTATTTGATTCCACTCATTCTTTCAGCCTTCTCCATAGTTGGGTTTTTCCCCGAGTTAAATGTTGAATATCTATTTCCCAAGTTGTCTCGTGTTTAGCTTTGAGGATTGTGTGGTTAGGGCCAAATGCCACTACAAACCTTTAAAACACAAGAACGTTTGCAGTTTGGTTTTTGTACTGCCTCCTTCTTGAAGCACAATCCCTAGGTCGGATTACACTGGATAACCTTCATTGTGATTCCCTCCTTCTTTACTTTGTATGAAAGTTTGACGATTTGGGATCCATGAGAGTCTGGTCCTATGAGTGATTATGTTTCTACTTCGGAAAACATCAGAGTAACTCTCTGAGTGTGTGGAACATTTTATTCTTCATAACGACAGTACACCAGAATCTCTCCCAAATCTAACCTTTCCTGTTCAGTTTAGGTTCAGTGGGTTTCACTGATCCCAAGAACAGTCAAGTTTTATTTCCTCATTTACCTAGGTATTTGATTAGTCATTCCATTTACTTATATTAATTTTTTCTCGGGATATATCACTTAGCAAGGTTGTTTTCTGTGTAATAGAGTTGCCGATCCATGCCCAACCCTCCCCCTTTACTCGGGCTTTGAACCTATAGTAATCCTAGGAAAACCACAGGTGGAGTTATATCCTGTTTACTTCTGTCGACTTATCCAGCTTATGATGACGTGAATACAAAAGTATTTGACTAGCTTTTTTCGTCACAGTTCTCTTCTACGTTTTGGGATTGTCAATCCCTTGCCCAACCCTTTTATTTCCGGGTTTTGGTCTGGTAGTAAGACCAAAAGGGCTCCAGATGGAGTTACGAAATATTTGAAGAACATATACTTCGAACATTCGGTATTGCAAACGAAGGCTAAGAGGAGCGCGTGCTGGCTGAAGCGGCAGAAATAGCCAACTTGATTTGATAAAGCGCTACTAACTATTTGTAGTTAGACAGAAAAGTAAGCCAAAGAAGCGACATATAAAAGAATGAACACACGTGAGATTGTATAAACACATTGAAGGTTGTAGGAGAATAATGAATATGGTTGAATTTAGTGTGGCTGACTCAAAAAGCGAGAATTAACCAGTCTGTCCAGTGGCCAGAATAACCTATGTAAGTGTGACTGTACCTTAAGCCACAGGGTTCTTACAATGATCCATGACGTTCATGGAAATTAGTACCACTAGCTCTTGAAATAGTGTATATATGATAAAACCGATGATGCTGGAAGATTATTAAAGAAGTTCGCTCCCGTAAAGTTTGTTGAGTCTTGAAATTTTTATAGTCCACAACAACAAGTCCTGTTGGTCCCAGGAAACTACATACCCACACTAGGAAGCTGGGACTTTAGTCAAGAACCGTTTCGCAGTACCTACTTTGACAAACTCAGCAAACAAGAGGCTAAATTAAATGATTGTACAATCCTGAAGTCAAAATGGTCATAAGGACTATGTTCCAACATTACTGTATGTTTCGGGGTAATGGTCGATATGTTTCAAAACATCAAGATGTCCAAGTTGTGCCGCAAAAGTGTATTTACCTATGAAGGCTATGCCGTCCGTTGACTGAGCAACGTTAAAACGAGATTTTTAACTACGTGTATATAAATATATCACTGTGGCTCGACTAGGGATACTGTGGGGCTTCATAAAATTTTAGAATTGCTGTTTGTTAATAGGAAACCGGATTTGTACGAACCCTAAACTCGACGTAACCGTACGTTTTTTGGGGTATTAGAGCTTGTCATAATGTGCTCGACCGAGAAAGCTGTGGGAGAGAACTCCGAAAGTCACAACATAATAAGTATAGGATTTCGGTTTCTTCAGAGATCGGTCAACAACTGGAATGTTCTCTGATAAGTAATATCAACTCAATCTGTCCACGCTTTCAAAGCGAAACTCGATCTTCACTGGGAAAAAAGGTGCAAATATTAGTAGAAGTCAATCGATCTATTATTTTTATTTAGGCAGATTGTATATTGATCATTGTCTTTATGCATTATCCAGCTATTGTGCATTGAACCTTGTTTAGGTTGGCATTAGCGTGACTTCAGTCGTGAGTGTCGAGATGGGCCGGAGACCTGCCAGATGGTATGTAATTTCCCTCGTTAGTTACATTTACTAGTTATCGATATTGCAAAAATAAACCGTATCCTAAGTCGAGATTTTGTCGCGGTGTCCCAGACCCAAAGATTCGAATCTTTGATCTGGGCAAGAAAAAAGCAGACGTTGAAGAATTTCCTCTATGTGTTCATATGATATCAGATGAATACGAACAGCTGTCCAGTGAAGCATTAGAAGCTGCTCGTATTTGTGCGAACAAGTATCTACTGAAGCATTGTGGGAAAGATTCATTCCATGGTCGGATACGCGTCCATCCATTTCATGTGATCCGCATCAATAAAATGCTTTCGTGTGCTGGGGCTGATCGGTACTCACTCCTTCATTCTTAATATTTGTGCTTAGCTTGCAAACAGGTATGAGAGGTGCATTCGGAAAGCCCCAAGGGACGGTTGCACGTGTCGATATTGGGCAAGTTATAATGTCAGTCCGTGCTCGTGATCAACATCAAGCTCAAGTTGTCGAGGCTCTTAGACGTGCCAAAATGAAATTTCCAGGTCGGCAAAAGGTAATCATTTAAACACTGAGTGTATAGATTTAGTGTGAACATTAGGCCTTAAATGTAGATCCTCTCACTTACTTACTTACTTACTTAGGCCTGTTACTCCCAATGGAGCATAGGCCGCCGACCAGCATTCTCCAACCCACTCTGTCCTGGGCCTTCTTTTCTAGTTCCATCCAATTCTTGTTCATTTTTCTCATATCTATCTCCATTTCCCGGCGTAATGTATTCTTTGGTCTTCCTCTCCTCCCTCGACCTTGAGGATTCCATATGAGGGCTTGTCTTGTGACGCAGTTGGGTGTTTTCCTCAATGTGTGTCCTATCCACTTCCAGCGCTTCTTCCTGATTTCTTCCTCCCCTGGGATCTGATTTGTTCTCTCCTACAGTAGGTTGTTGCTTATAGTGTCCGGCCAGCGGATCTGAAGTATTTTGCTTAGACAACTGTTAATAAACACCTGTATCTTTTGGACGATGGATTTCGTAGTTTTCCAGGTTTCCGCGCCATACAGTAGAACTGTCTTGACATTTGTATTGCAAATTCTGACTTTGGTGTTGGTTGCTAATTGTTTTGAGTTCCAGATATTCTTCAGTTGTAGATATGCTGCTCTTGCTTTGCCGATCCGTGCCTTCACATCTGCATCAGATCCACCGTGTTCATCGATGATACTGCCCAAATATGTAAAGGTTTTTACATCTTCCAAAGCTTCTCCGTCAATTGTGATTGGATTGGTGCATGCTGTGTAGTACCGGAGAATCTTGCTTTTCCCTTTGTGTATATTGAGACCTATTGCTGCTGAGGCTGCAGCTACACTGGTTGTCTTCTCCTGCATTTGTTGTTGTGTATGCGATAGAAGAGCCAGATCATCTGCGAAGTCTAGATCATCCAATTGCATCCTAGCTATCCACTGTATCCCGTGCTTCCCTTCAGATGTTGATGTCTTCATGATCTAGTCGATCACCAGGAGAAAGTAACATAACCTAATAGACCCCTCTAATAAACACCTTGATGCTTAAAGTCAAAACAATGTTTCTTATTTATAATCGTATGTAAGACTTGTATGTTTCGTAGGGACTACTATCATCCTTTAACCTTACCACTAATTCTACCAACCAGTACCCTATTATTCATCCTTTCTATTATGGTGTGATGACCTTATGAGAATAGATGTTTGTGCTGTTTCTAGTTGCTTGTGACTAGTCTTTCATCTAAACGGCTATTAAATACAGGTCACTTACGAAATGTACGGTTTTCTGAGGTTTTATATGATGCACATTTCAAGGATCGACGAAACTCGTTGGTTTGCTTTAATGTGCTATAATGAAGTCAAATTATCAAAGTTCATTTATGTGAACTATGACCATTTTGATACAGTTTTGTGGTTCGAGAAAGTTGTAGCTACCTTTCAAAATATAAATAAAGCTTTACCAACTCAGAATTGCTTGTATGGGCCCTGTCCAAGCACATACATTTCTGGCAAAAAAAGCAAATGGTTGCTACGTTCGTAGTTCATCCATGAGTGATCTCTAAAATCGTAGGTAAACAATGTACAAATCTGGGTATCTATTCCCATAATGCTAGTAATTTTCATGTTTTGTAAAATGCACATTACAAGGATCGATGATACTGTCATTGGTTTAGTTCAATGTGCGATAATGAAGTCAAATTATCAAAGTTCATTTGCGTGAACTATGGCCATTTGATACAAATCTTACTGTATTTGTATGATGCAGTTTCACTAGCTTTTTATACAGTAATTTTTGGGATTTATATATTCGTACATGGGTGATATACGTTCTTCAAGTGTATATTATTTCCATTCATGAACAAAGTACTAAGCATCTACATCCGATATCGTTTTTACATACAATTTAGGTATGTGATACGTTTTGTGCCTAGTCCATGGCTTTTGACAAATATTTTGTCGCGAATCAGAGGTATTTTATGTTGAAGCTTGCTTTTGTCATCTAGATAGACGATTAACTATAGACTTTATAAAAGTATTGCTTACTTTAAGAAATGGATGTGTCGTAAGTGCTGCTGGTTGTTACGTACTACAGTTTCATTTTCCAGCTGCAATCTACACTTGTGTACAGATTTAGCCATGTCAAGCTACCCAACTAAAATACATGGTCCAATCTAGTAAATCAAGTCTTTCAAATCGGTTACCTTAGTACCAGGACCTCTTCAAAAGTATGGTCATATCTAAGTATGTGCTTCCCAACCCTTCCACAACAATACCACCATAACAGATAAACATGTCTTGGCTTACACTTTAGTCTCGAAAAGCCATTCAAATCAAACCCTTTCGCATTCTTGTCAAAGTTTTATACCATTATATCCCGAATCATTTAGATCTTAAGATCATATTGACATAAATCTTATTTGTCTTGATGTATTTGTATACAAATCAATAGATTGCTGTGTCACGTAACTGGGGATTCACAAAATGGCCTAGAACTAGTTTTAACGAAATGCGTGCCAAAGGACAACTAGTTTCGGACGGTGTTGGTGTGAAGTATCTTCCTTCTCATGGCCCCTTAGAACAATGGAAACAGACACAAGCACGTCTAGCTGGAATCACTGTATAAAAAAAAGAAACTACAATACATATTTGGTAATAATTCTTAAAATTTTCACTTTCGGTTGTATGATTGATTTAGTAGTCTGTTAGTGCCACTCAATGCGATTATGTAAAAAGCAAAGCTATACATTTGAACATTATAACATTAGGGTGTGACCATAGCAAATACAGACTGTTATATGGGATTGAATAGTGATTTCATTTATTTGAACAGATAAATACTGGTACAAAGTGGCACGGAATACATAAGCGCCACACGTCACTTGATTTGTGTGTGGGTTGTGGTACTGCCCGGGTGTCCAAACCAAAGCAGGTGGTTTTCTTATGGGGCCACACCCAGGGCCTTTGATCCAGAGGTCTAATTCACAAAGTAGTGGAGCTATGTCAGGAGATGCAGTCCCATAGTAGCCGGTGACCGACAATTGGTTCAGACGTCATTTGTTCCCTTCAGAGCCTAGAGCCCATGTGCACTGTTGGTTTGGAATTAGGGTTGTTCAACTTGTCTGCGTGGGTCCTCCATATCTATACAACCGGTTAAATCGCTGTACGTTTGCTTTTCGTCTTCCCAATTTCGTAAACAACGCCGCTGCGAGAAGGCAGTGAGTAGGACTTCCCTTGAAGTGACTGTATACGCGTGGCTATGTGAGGGCATTTCGAGAGAGCTGACTCTCGACACTCGGCTGTACCAGGGAAATGGATAACGATATTCGAGAATGACTAGTTATTGGGGCTACGAAAAGACCTGAAACTATTGGTTGAGAGAACAACCATGACAAGAAAGTTGAACGAACAGTGGACTGGAATTAAAGTGAAATTACTGGCTAATAATTGAATGACCCGATCAGAAATCAAACTACAAAATCGAATCAACAATCATGTGAACCTGTACATTTACACGCCTTATAATCCGGATTCTCTCGAGTATATAACTGTGTATGTTAATAAACGAAATAACCTCCGGAAGACAACCACAGAAGATGTGATGTGAATCGTATATCAACATCAGAAATATGTAACTTCACTATAAAAAACACAAAGGCAATACCTGGTAAGTTTATTCATTGCACTATATAACGCTCCTGAACGGATTTGTATTGCTTCAAACTAGTCGCATACGTGGAGAAATGCTTGTATCGATCAGTTTTGGGGTGTGTAGTGTTGGTGTTGTGTGTGGTTTGCGATGATTAGAGACTGATGATCAACTTGTAGGGTGTTGTTGCTGTTATCGCTTGTGCTTCAAGAGTGTGTGTGTGTAAGCCAGATGAGGTGGTGTTGTGTATTTCTACGTGAAGTAACTAACTTGGTGTGAATGAAGTTGGTTGAACCGATTAATGTTGGATCGATCTGTTTTGGGGTGTGTAATAAAATGTGATTATTTATTTTGCCGATAATACTGTTGGTGTTGTGTGTGGTTTGTAATGATTAGTGAATGGTGATGATGATCATCATCGTGACCAGCACCCATTCAATGTGACGTAATTGACTGGGCTCCGAACGATGGTAAATTGAAGTTGCGAATGTAGACGTTGGTGTGATTTCGCGACAGTGTCAAAATCGTTAGTTAGATAGATGTGAATATGACCGTGTATTGTGTGCCGAAGTATTGATCACAGTGTGTGTGTGTGTGTGTGAGTGAGTGTTCGTTGGGGGTTGAGATTTGTTTGTTGTCCGCTAGTTAGGAGTATAAGTAGTGATGGAAGTGATTGTGGTAAGAATAACTATGGTAGTTTGTTGTTGTTAAGCATCATAAAGTGCTCTACTCGATGGTTGGGTCTGAGCTCCAGAGTGATGCCAAATTGGAATGGCAAGGTGACTATGAATAGAGTTCATTTTGCCAGAGAGTAATGTGCGCGTTATTTGTAGAGCTGATGTATATATAATTGTGTGTGTGTGTGTGTGTGTGTGTGCGAGAGAGTCGTATTGGTGGTGGTGGTGGTGTTGGGACGCGGAGTGGTGTGATGGCTAACATGCGCGTCTTTTTTCAATGTTGACTAGCATTTAGCTGGATCGCACTGACCTGCCCCTATGAACAACTGATCGGTAAGTGAGTGTTTTGTGTCGATGGAGATCGAGTTATTGGCTAGTATCTGTATCGTGAGATGGTTGTGTGTGGGTTGTTAGTTGTTGGTGTTAGGAAGGGATAATGTGACGGCGTCGGTTAGTGTGATGTCATGTAATGATGTTGTGGAGGTGTGTTTTGTTTGACGGGGATATTGTTGTAGAGGGCATTGTTAGTATGTTGTTGCTGTTGTCGTTTGTGCTTGAAGAGTGAGTGAGTGAGTGAGTGAGTGAGTGAGTTTTGTAGTATGTGTGTGATGAAGGTGTATTGTGGAGTGGATGCCGAGTTGTATTTGGTGATGTTTTGCACCAAGTATGCTTAAGGTATCCGAAATTGAGGCTAGTTCACCAACTACTGTACATGACGTGCTGTAGTATTTCACACTAGCCACATGCGTGGATGCATGTATACGTGAAGAAATGGTCTGTGATGTTGAGCTATGTTGTGTTGTATGAATTAGATGCGAGTGCTGATGATTGGTAGTTTGATTTGTGTTAACTGCGTGTGTTGTTGTTGTAATTGTCGGTGAAGGTGATGATTACTGTGTAGCGTGTGTATGTCCATATGTGTGCATCTATCTATTTATATAATGAGTGCATATATATATATATATATATATATATATATATATATATGTATATATGTATATATATATATGATGAATGGATGAGTGGGTAAGGTGGTGGTTGAGTGTGGATGTGGTCGCTTGCAAATCTGTGTTCAGGTTTGCTTTGATTGAAGCACATCCGAAATTGAGAGGTGCATGTGATGTACTGGCTGTTTCCGATGCAATTGAAACAGGCAACAGGATCCATGCGAAATTTGTGATAATGTGTGTATGTATGTATGTATGTATGTATGTATGTATGTATGTATGTATGTTGTTACGTGGATATAACTTTGAATAATTGATGGAGTAGATGCATGTGTGGTTGGTGTCGTTTGTGATTGTTGCGCTTGATCGTGTTGAGTGGTGGTGCTGCTGGTCGTAGTAGTTGTGATGATGATGATGATGATAGGAGTTGTGCAGTGGAAATATTGTGTTTTTGGAGTGGTTGTGCGACAATGAGTGGTGTGCAATATTGGTTCTAATGAGACGGGATATTTTGTGTGTTGGAGTGTGTGGGTGTAGGTGTTGTTGGTTTAGTTTACATGCGAAGAGTGTGTTGAGGTGATTGTTTTTGATGGTGGTGGTAATGTTGGCATTTCTGTGTAGAGATGAAGCAGTTTGTATATGCTTTAGTCTCAAGGGAGAAATGCGAAATTGTATCGCGCGTTGCTCATCAAGTCAGGATGATTCCGGATTTTGGGCACGTGCGATAAATACTGTGTTCTTACGTAGTGATGGGATGAATGTGTGTGATTTGGATTGCGGTTATGGATGTGTGTGTGTGTGCGCGTGCGTGTGCCAGATGAGATGGTGTTGTGTATTTCTACGTGAAGTAACTAACTTGGTGTGAATGAAGTTGGTTGAACCGATTAATGTTGGATCGATCTGTTTTGGGGTGTGTAATAAAATGTGATTATTTATTTTGCCGATAATACTGTTGGTGTTGTGTGTGGTTTGTAATGATTAGTGAATGGTGATGATGATCATCATCGTGACCAGCACCCATTCAATGTGACGTAATTGACTGGGCTCCGAACGATGGTAAATTGAAGTTGCGAATGTAGACGTTGGTGTGATTTCGCGACAGTGTCAAAATCGTTAGTTAGATAGATGTGAATATGACCGTGTATTGTGTGCCGAAGTATTGATCACAGTGTGTGTGTGTGTGTGTGTGTGAGTGAGTGAGTGAGTGTTCGTTGGGGGTTGAGATTTGTTTGTTGTCCGCTAGTTAGGAGTATAAGTAGTGATGGAAGTGACTGTGGTAAGAATAACTATGGTAGTTTGTTGTTGTTAAGCATCATAAAGTGCTCTACTCGATGGTTGGGTCTGAGCTCCAGAGTGATGCCAAATTGGAATGGCAAGGTGACTATGAATAGAGTTCATTTTGCCAGAGAGTAATGTGCGCGTTATTTGTAGAGCTGATGTATATATAATTGTGTGTGTGTGTGTGTGTGTGTGTGCGAGAGAGTCGTATTGGTGGTGGTGGTGGTGGTGTTGGGACGCGGAGTGGTGTGATGGCTAACATGCGCGTCTTTTTTCAATGTTGACTAGCATTTAGCTGGATCGCACTGACCTGCCCCTATGAACAACTGATCGGTAAGTGAGTGTTTTGTGTCGATGGAGATCGAGTTATTGGCTAGTATCTGTATCGTGAGATGGTTGTGTGTGGGTTGTTAGTTGTTGGTGTTAGGAAGGGATAATGTGACGGCGTCGGTTAGTGTGATGTCATGTAATGATGTTGTGGAGGTGTGTTTTGTTTGACGGGGATATTGTTGTAGAGGGCATTGTTAGTATGTTGTTGCTGTTGTCGTTTGTGCTTGAAGAGTGAGTGAGTGAGTGAGTGAGTTTTGTAGTATGTGTGTGATGAAGGTGTATTGTGGAGTGGATGCCGAGTTGTATTTGGTGATGTTTTGCACCAAGTATGCTTAAGGTATCCGAAATTGAGGCTAGTTCACCAACTACTGTACATGACGTGCTGTAGTATTTCACACTAGCCACATGCGTGGATGCATGTATACGTGAAGAAATGGTCTGTGATGTTGAGCTATGTTGTGTTGTATGAATTAGATGCGAGTGCTGATGATTGGTAGTTTGATTTGTGTTAACTGCGAGTGTTGTTGTTGTAATTGTCGGTGAAGGTGATGATTACTGTGTAGCGTGTGTATGTCCATATGTGTGCATCTATCTATTTATATAATGAGTGCATATATATATATATATATATATATATATATATATATATGATGAATGGATGAGTGGGTAAGGTGGTGGTTGAGTGTGGATGTGGTCGCTTGCAAATCTGTGTTCAGTTTTGCTTTGATTGAAGCACATCCGAAATTGAGAGGTGCATGTGATGTACTGGCTGTTT